TACATCCACTACTTAATTAACAAAGGTAGTAACAATACTGGAACACTAGATACATCCACTACTTAATTAACAAAGGTAGTAACAATACTGGAACACTAGATACATCCACTACTTAATTAACAAAGGTAGTAACAATACTGGAACACTAGATACATTAATTATTTAATTAACATAGGTAGTAACAATACAGGGACACTAAATACATCTACTAATTAACTAAAATAGGCAGTAACAATACTGGGTCACTAGATACATGCACTACTTAATTAACATAGGCAGTAACAATACTGGGACACTAGATACATCAACTACTTAACTACCATAGGTAGTAATAATACTGGGACACTAGATACATTCACTATTTAACTACCATAGGTAGTAACAATACTGGGACAATAGATACATCCACTATTTAATTAACATAGGTAGTAACAATACAGGGACACTAGATACATTCACTATTTAATTGAAATAGGTAACAACAATACTGGGACACTAGATAAATCCACTACTTAACTACAATAGGTAGTAATAATACTGGGACAATAGATACATCCATTACATCATTAACACAGAGAGTAAGAATACTGGGACAATAGATACATCCACTACATCATTAACATAGGAAGTAAGAATACTGGGACACTAGATACATCCGCTAATTAACTACCATAGGCAGCAACAATACTGGGTCACTAGATACATGCACTACTTAATTAACATAGGTAGTAACAATACTGGGACACTAGATACATGCACTGCTTAATTAATATAGGCAGTAACAATACTGGGACACTAGATACATCAACTACTTAACTACCATAGGTAGTAACAATACTAGGACAATAGATACATCCACTACATAATTAACATAGGCAGTAACAATACTGGGACTATAGATACATCCACTACATAATTAACATAGGCAGTAACAATACTGGGACACTAGATACATCCACAAATTAACTACCATAGCCAGTAACAATACTGGATCACTAGATACATGCACTACTTAATTAACATAATTAGTAACAATAATGAGACACTAGATACATGCACTAGTTAATTAACATAGATAGTAACAATACTGGGACACTAAGTACATCCACAACTTAACTTCTGCAGGTAGTTACAATACTGGGACAATAGATACATCCACTATTTAATTAACATAGGTAGTAACAATACAGGGACACTAGATACATCAACTACTTAACTACCATAGGTAGTAACAATACTGGGACAATAGATACATCCACTACATAAGTAACATAGGCAGTAACAATACTGGGACACTAGATGCATCCACTACTTAATTAACATAGGTAGTAACAATACTAGGAGACTAGATACATCCACTACTTAACTACCATATTTAGTAACAATACTGGGACAATAGATACATCCACCACATAAGTAACATAGGCAGTAACAATACTGGGACACTAAATACGTCGACTACATAATTAACGTAGATAGTAACAATACTGGGACAATATATACATCCACTACATCATTAACATAGGGAGTAAGAATACTGGGACAATAGATACATCCACCACATGAGTAACATAGGCAGTAACAATACTGGGACACTAAATACGTCGACTACATAATTAACGTAGATAGTAACAATACTGGAACACTAAGTACATCCACAACTTAACTACTACAGGTAGTTACAATACTGGGACAATAGATACATCCACTACTTAACTACCATAGGCAGTAACAATACTGGGACACTAGATACATCCGGTACTTAATTAACATACGTAGTAACAATACTGGGACACTAGATACATCTACTACTACTAACATAGGCAGTGACAATACCAGGACACTAGATACATGCACTACTTAATTAACATAGGTAGTAACAATACTGGGACACAAGCCTAAGGTTAAAAATATCTTCAACGATAGGTTGTTTTTCTCACCTCCATTCCCCATACACTGTTACTATGGTACATGAAGGAGTTAGAGTTTTGAATTTTCGTCATGTCATGTACATCCCACAAGTAAAAGCTGTGGTTATTGTATATACAAATCACCTGGAAAATACATATAACTTATAACTGTCTTCAAAAGATTATATATCAATAAAATGACGTATAAATTAACATATGTGTGTATATATATATATATATATATATATATATATATATATATTATAAGGTCTAATATTGAGTCAAATACTAACTATATCTCCCTTACAAAAAGTTGGTTTGATAAATCAGAGAAATACTAACTACAAAGAAATCACAACTTTTAGTGCCAAGTGCTCCCTACACAAACACAGGAATCACTAGTGCTAGTACCTAGTGTGCTCCGAACACGAACAAAGGAATCACTACTTCTAGTACCTAGTGTGCTCCGTATACAAACACAGGAATCTCTACTTCTAGCACCAAAATGCTCCATAGACAAACAGAGTAATCACTACTTCTAGTACCTAGTGTGCTCCCTACAAAAATACAGGAATCACCTCTACTAGTACATAGTGTGCTCCCTACCCAAACAAAGGAATCACTACTTCTAGTACCTAGTGTGCTTCTACACAAACACAGGAATCACTACTGCTAGTACGTAGTATGCTCCCTACAGAAACTCATGAATCACTACTGCTAGTACCTGGTGTGCTATCAACACAAACACAGGAATCACTACTTCTAGGACATAGCGTTTTCCCTACACAAACACAGGAATCACTACTTCTAGTACCTAGTATGCTTTCTACCCAAACACAGGAATCACTACTTCTAGTACCTAGTGTGATCCCTAAACAAATACAATAATCACTATTTCTAGTACGTAATGTGCTCCTTACACAATCACAGGAATCACTACTTTTAGTACCCAGTATACTATACACAAACACAGGAATCACTACTTTTGGTACTTAGTGTGCTCCCTACACAAACACAGGAATCCCTACTTCTAGTACCTAGTGTGCTACATACACAAACACAGTAATCACTCCTGCTATTACCAAGTGTGTTCCCTAAACAAAAAATAAAGAATCACTACTTGTAGTACCTAGTCTGCTCCAAATAAACATAGGAATCACTACTTCTAGTACCTTGTGTGTTCCCTATACTAACACAGGAATCACTACTTCTAGCACCAAAATGCTCCCTACATAAAAAATGGAATCACTACTTATAGTACCTAGTGTGATCCCCAAACAAACACAGTAATCACTCCTGTTATTACCCAATGTGTTCCCTACACAAACACAAGAATCACTACTTGTAGTACCTAGTCTGCTTCTACATAAACGTAGGAATTACTACTTCTACTACCTTGTATGTTCCCTACACTAACACAGGAATCACTACTTCTAGCACCAAAATGCCCCCTACATAAAAATGCAGTCACAGCTTCTAGTACATAGTGTATTCCCTACACAAACGGAGAAATCACTAATTCTAGAACCTAGTGTGCTCCCTATACAAACACAGAAATCACTACTTCTAGTACCTAGTGTGCTCCATACACAAACACAAGAATCACTACTGCTAGTACCTAGTGTGTTCCCAACTCAAACACAGGAATCAGTACTTCTAGTACATAGTGTGCTCCTCACGCAAAAATAGGAATAATTAATTCTAGTACCAATTTTCGCCTACACATATACAGGAATCACTACTTCTAGCACCAAAATGCTCCTACACAAACATAGGAATCACTACTTGTAGTACCTAGTATGCTCCCTACACAAACTCAGGAATCACTACTGCTAGTACCTGGTGTGCTTTCTACACAAACACAGGAATCACTGCTTCGAGTACGTAGTGTGCTCCCTACACAAACACAGGAATAAATACTTCTAGTCCCTAATGTCCTCCCTAGACAAACACAGGAAACACTACTTCTAGTACCTAGTGTGTTCCCTAAACAAACATAGAAACACTACTTCTAGTACCTAGTGTGCTCCCTACACAATCAGAGGAATCACTACTTCTAGTACCTAGTGTGTTCCCTACATAAACTCAAGAATCACTACTTCTAGTAGCTTGTGTGCTCTATACACAAACTCAGAAATCACTACTCCTAGTAACTAGTTTGTTCCCAACATAAACATAGGAATCACTACTTGTAGAACCTAGTGTGACCCTACACAAACACAGAAATAACTACTTCTAGTACCTAGTGTGCTCCCAACATAAACATAGGAATCACTACTTGTAGAACCTAGTGTGACCCTACACAAACACAGAAATAACTACTTCTAGTACCTAGTGTGCTCCCTACACAAACACAAGAATCACTATTTCTGGTACATAGTGTGCTCCCTACACAAACACAGGAATCACTACTTCTAGCACCAAAATGCTCACTAGACAAACTCAAGAATCACTACTTCTAGTAGCTTGTGTGCTCTATACATAAACATAGGAATCACTACTTGTAGAACCTTTTGTGCTCCCTTCACAAACACAAGAATCACTATTTTTTGTACATAATGTGCTCCCTAAACAAACAAAGGAATCACTACTTAAAGTAACTAGTGTGCTCCTTACATATACACAGAAATCACTACTGCTAGTTCCTAGTATTCTATACACAAACACAGGAATTCCTACTCTAGTACATAGTGTGCACTATACACAAACACAGGAATCACTACTGCTAATTCCTTGTATTCTATACACAAAAACAGAAATCACTACTTCTAGTACCTAATGTGCTCCCTACTCAATCACAGGAATCACTACTTCTAGTACTTAGTGTGCTACCTAAAGAAACACAGGAATCACTACTTCTAGTATTTAGTGTGCTACCTACACAAACCCGGGAATCACTACTTCTAGTACCAAAATTCTCCCTACACAAACACAGGAATCACTACTTCTAATACCTTTGTGCTACCTACTCAAACATAGGAATCCCCACTAGTACCTAGTGTATTAACTACATAAACTAAGGAATCACTACTTCTTGTACCTAGTGTGCTCCCTATTAAAAAATGGAATCACTACTGTTAGTAACTAGTATGCTCCCTACAAAAACACAGGGATTACTTCTGCTAGTACCTAGTGTGCTCCCTACACTAACACAGGAATCACTCTGACAAGTACTTAGTGTGCTCTTTACACAAACACAGGAATCACTACTTCTAGTACCTAGAGTGCTCCCTACCCAGTGTGCTCCATAAACAAACACAAGAATCACTACTTCTAGTACCTAGTGTGCTCCCTACATAAAAATGAAATCTCTACTTCTAGTAGCTACTGTGTTCCTTATATAAACACAGGAATAACTTTTTCTAGTATTTAGTATTCTATACACAAACACAGGAAACACTACTTCTAGTACCTAGTGTGCTCCCTACACAATCACAGGAAGCACTTCTTCTAGTACCTAGAGTGCTCCCTACCCAGTGTGCTCCATAAACAAATATAAGAATCACTACTTCTAGTACCTAGTATGTTCCCTACACAAACACAGGAATCACTACTTCTGTTACCTAGTGTGCTCCCTACATCAAAATGGAATCACTACTTCTAGTACCTAATGTACTCTCTACACAAACATAGGAATCACTACTTCTAGTATCTAGTATTCTATACACAAACACAGGAATCACTACTTCTATATTAAGTATTATATACACAAACACAGGAATCACTACTTCTAGTACCTGATGTGCTTCCTACATAAACAGAGGAATCCCTATTACTTGTACCTAGTTTGTTCCCTACAAAACACAGGAATCACTACTTGTAGAACCTAGTGTGCACCCTACACAAACACAGGAAACACTACTACTAGTATCTAGTTTGCTCTCTACTCAAATACAGGAATAACTACTTCTAGTACCTTGTGTGTTCCGTACACAAACACTGGAATCCCTCTTGCTATTACTTAGTGTGCTCCCTACACAAACACAAGAATCACTACTTCTAGTACCTAGTTTGCTTCCTGAACAATCACAGGAACCACTTCTGCTAGCACCTAGTGTGTTCCCTACACAAAAAAGGAATTACTCAGCTAGTACCTAGTGCTTTCCATTCACAAACACACGAATCAGTACTGCTAGTACCTAATGTGATCCCTAAACAAACACGGGAATCGCTACTGTTGGTACCTAGTGTGCTCCCGACAGAAACAGAAGTTTCATTACTGCTATTACTTTGTGTGCTCCCTACACAAACACAGGAATCACTACTTCTAGTACCTAGTGTGCTCCCTTCATAAACAGAGGAATCACTAGTGCTAGTACCTAATTTCTTCCCTACACAAACGGAGGAATCAATACTTGTAGATCTTAATGTGCTCCTTACACAAACATAGGAATCACTACTACTAGTACCTAGTTTGCTCCCTTCACAAACACAGGAATCACTACTTGTAGAACCTAGTGTTATCCCTACGCATACAAAGGAATCACTGCTTCCAGTTCCTAGTGTGCTCCTTACACAAGCACATGAATAACTATTTCTAGTACCTATTGTGCTCCCAACACAAACATAGGAATCACTACTTCTAGTACACAGTGTGCTCCCTCTACAAACACAGGAATCACTTCTTCTAGTACCTATTATACTCCCTACACAAACACAAAAATCACTACTGCTAGTACCTAGTGTACTCCCTACATAAACACGGGAATCGCTACTGCTAGTACCTAGTGTGCTCTCGACAAAAACACAGGAACCACTACTACTAGTACCTAGTGTGTTCCCCTACACAAACAGAGGAATTACTCCTGCTAGTTTCTAGTGTGCTCCCTGCACAAACACAGGAATCACTACTTCTAATATACAGTGTCCTCCCGACAGAAAATCAGGAATCACTACCCCTAGTACCTAGTGTGGTTCTAAACAAACAACGGAATCACTACTTCTAGTACCTAGTGTGCTCCCTACAGAAGAACAAGAATCACTACTTCTAGTACCTAATGTGCTCCCTACACAAACACAGGAATCACTACTTCTTGTAACTAGTGTGCTACCTACACAAACAAAGAAATCACTATTTATAGTACCTAGTGTGCTCCCTACAGAAAAACAGGAATCACTACTTCTACTACGTAGTGTGCTTCCGACACAAGCACAAGAATTACTACTTCTAGTACCTAGTGTGCTCCCTACACAAAATCAGGAATCACTATTTCTAGTACCTTGTGTGTTCGATACACAAACACTGCTAGTAGAGAACTCTTAAATCTTAATAAAAATGATATAATTTGTGATTATCATAATACATTCCAACCTTCTGGCAGGTTTCATCAAATGTTACTGCTAATGTATCAGGGTACTTGACACCAGATGGAGCTACTGTAGTAGGATCCTTGGCACCCAGAGAATGAGATCTTAAGAGATTAAAAAGTTAAATTTCTTAAAATTTGAAATCCTACGTTTTGAACATTTAAATCTTAACCACTATTTTCATATTTATATATTCTTATATAATCGTTTACATTCTTCTCCATCTCTAAAGCGTTACGTACGTCACATTAAAGCAATTTTAATATGGAAATTAGCAAATAACGGAAAACTACAGCACATATAAGTTCGCCATGGAATAACATGTATCAGAATTACATTTTGACATTGGATGCTGTTACAGAGGTTCTTGGAAAGCACCGAAAACTGATTAGTTTGGGGAACGATATCTAATAAAATTTTGTAATGGAAAATATTCATACACTAATATCTTAAGGATGAACTGCGATTAAGCCTGTCCCAGAATGAGATGGGAACAAGTTTTAGCCTTGATAACCAAAGTACGAAGTATTCTAATAGGTAAGAATCCACAAAAATGCATTTTTAGAGTGGCCCTGCACTGTAGCTTTCAATATAAGAAGCTCAGTCTTAAGGCTGTGATGTCAAAATTACACCACTCACCCTTGCTTGCGTTCTATAAACCATATACTGTATGAGAGCAACTGTTTCCCAAATACTGTTTTAACAGCCCAATTGCACAGACTTCCACTGACACTTCAGTGGTATATCTTCGTATTGAGTAGCAAGAATATCCAGCTCTTTTTCTATTTGCTTGAAATATGCCATGGTTGAATGGTTATGTAAAGCAACAGTTTCTGTAGAGTGACTTGTGTTGGTTTTCCAAATGGATACTGTTGCCTGGGCTATATGGACGGAATCCGCTCCTGACCTTTGTGTTCGTGGATTTGTTATTAAGGTTGAGATACTTCTTGATGCCCCTTACTGGATTTCCCCAAGTTTATCACATTCCCTTGTTCTCCTATGCCATAAAATTAGATGGATTACTATGCGAGTGCATAAATATTTTGCGAAAGAAACGACGGTTACATACTCTTTCTAAAACGATCAGATTTCTTTGGCACGTGCAGCCGAGCAGCATTAAAATGTAGTTTCGATACATTCTGTTTAACCATGACTTTATATCGGTTATGACTGTACTTAAATTTGTGTATTTGTATGTGCAATTGTTATCTGCAAGAGTAAAATGGAAGACTTTTTGTTGTTCTTATAAAACCTGAAACCTTAAGTTGTTAATATGTATAAGACCTCAAAACTTTAAGTTGTTAACATGTATGAGACCTGAAGATCTTAAGTTGTTAACATGCATCAGATCTGAATTTTACAATTTGTTCCTTATCTTTCTTTAACAAATGAACATTTTAGATTGTTTATTATTTGAATAAGACTCGAAGATTTCAGACTGTTATTTCTAAATCCCCAAAATGTCTGATTGTTAGTTACTTGTATAAAACCTAAAGACTTCAGACTTTTATCTCTAAATCTCCAAAACGGCTGATTGTTAGTCACTTTCATAAAACCTAAAGACTTCAGACTGTTATCTGTAAGTCCCAAAAACGTGTGATTGTTAGTTACTTGTTTAAAACATAAAGACTTAAGGCTATTAACTCTAAGACCCCAAAACGGATGATTGTTAGTTACTTGTATAAAACCTAAAGACTTCAGACTGTTATCTCTAATTACCCAAAACGTCTGATTATTAGTTACTTGTATAAGACCTAATACTTCAGACTGTTATCTCTAAGTCCCCAAAACGTCTGGTTGTTAGTAACTTGTATAAGCCCTAAAGACTTCAAACCTTTATCTCTAAATCCCCAAAACGTCTGATTGTTAGTTATTTGTATAAAACCTAAAGATTTTAGACTCTTACCTTGATTGTTAGTTACATTTTTAAACCTAAATACTTCAAACTGTTTACTCTAAGTCCCAAAAACGACTGATTGTTAGATATTTATACAAAACCTAAAGACGTAGGACTGATATTTATAAGACCCCAAAACGTGTGATTGTTAATTACTTGTATAAAATCTAAAGACTTCAGACTGTTATCTCCAAGACCCCAAAACTTCTGATTGTTAGTTACTTGTATAAGTCCTAAAGACTTCAGACTGTTATCTCAAAGTACCCAAAACGTCTGATTATTAGTTACTTGTATAAAACCTAAAGACTTCAAACCGTTATCTCTAAAAACCCAAAACGTCTGATTGTTAGTTAATTGTATAGAACCTAAATACTTCAGACTGTTATCTCTAAGTCTCCAAAACGTCTGATTGTTAGTTACTTGTATAAAACCTAAAGACTCTAGACTGTTACCTCCAAGACCCCAAAACGTCTTATTGTTAGTTACTTGTGTAAAACCTAATTACTTCAGACTGTTATCTCTAAGTCCCCAATATGTATGATTGTTAGTTACACGTATAAAACCTAAAACTTTCAGACTGTTATCCCTAAGACCCCAAAACGTCTGATTGTTAGTTACTTGTGTAAAACCTAAATACTTCAGACTGTTATATGTAAATCCTCAAAACGTATGATTGTTTGTTACTTGTATAAAACCTAAAGACTTCAGACAGTTATCTCTAAAAACCCAAAACGTCGGATTGTTAATTACTTGTATAAAACCTAAAGACTTCAGACTGTTATCTCTAAGTCCCCAAAACATCTGATATTTAGTTTCTTGTATAGAACCTAAATACTTCAGACTGTTATCTCTAAGACACCAAAACATCTGATTGTTAGTTACTTGTATAAAACCTAAAGACTTCAAACCGTTATCTCTAAAAACCCAAAACGTCTGATTGTTAGTTAATTGTATAAAACCTAAAGACTTCAGACTGTTATCTCTAAGTCACCAAAACGTCTGATTGTCAGTTACACGTATATAACCTAAAGACTTCAGACTGTTATCTCTATGTCCCGAAAACGTCTTATTATTAGTTACTTGTTTAAAACCTAAAGACTTCAGACAGTTATCTCTAAGTCTCCAAAACGACTGATTGTCAGTTTCTTGTATAGAACCTAAATACTTCAGACTCTTATCTCTAAGACCCCAAAACGTCTGATTGTTAATTACTTGTATAAAACCTAAATACTTTAGACTGTTATCTCTAAGTCCCCAAAATGTCTGATTGTTAGTTACTTGTATAAAACCTAAAGACTTCAGACTGTTATCTGTAAAACCCCAAAACTTATGATTGTTAATTACTTGTTTAAAACCTAAAGACTTTAGGCTGTTATCTCTAAGACTCCAAAACGGCTGATTGTTAGTTACTTGTATAAAACCTAAAGACTTCAGACTGTTATCTCTAAATCCCCAAAACGTCTGATAGTTAGTTATTTGTATAAAACCTAAAGACTTCAAACTGTCATCTCTTAAAACCCAAAACGTCTGATTGTTAGTTACTTGTATAAAACCTAAAAATTTCAGACTGTTATTTCTAAGACCCCAAAACCTCTGATTGTTAGTTACTTGTATAAAGCCTAAATACTTCAGACTGTTATCTCTAAGTCCCCAAAATGTATGATTGTTAGTTACACGTATAAAACCTAAAACTTTCAGACTGTTATCTCTAAGACCCTAAAACGTATGATTGTTAGTTACTTGTATAAAACCTCAATACTTTAGTCTGTTATCTCTACATACCCAAAACGTCTGATTGTTAGTTACTTGTATAAAACCTAAAGACTTCAGACTGTTATCTCTAAAAACCCAAAACGTCTGATTGTTAGTTTCTTGTATAAACCCTAAAAACTTCGGACTGTTACCTCCAAGACCCCAAAACGTCTGTTTGTTAGTTACTTGTATAAAACCTAAAAACTTCAGACAGTTATCTCTAAAAACCCAAAACGTCGGATTGTTAGTTACTTGTATAAAACCTAAAGACTTGAGACTGTTATCTCTAAGTCCCCAAAACGTCTGATTTTTAGTTTCTTGTATAGAACCTAAATAATTCAGACTGTTATCTCTAAGTCCCCAAAACGTCTGATTTTTAGTTTCTTGTATAGAACCTAAATAATTCAGAC